TCCGATTCAGAAATTCGTCTGATGAATCGGGCTGAATCTCTGCCGAATTGAATCAGCAACTGAAGCTTTGCATAGCTCTAATTTTTTGGTTATCCCTATCCAGACTCCTCCATAGGTTCTGTTCTTTGTGAGAAATTCTGCCTCACCAAAATTCAAAGCGAGTGTTGTAGTAATGGCTAGTACATATTAGCTTTAACTTCAACAGAAACCATGTCTCACTGGATTATTAGAATGCAAAAAGGTAGATCGAAGAGCAAGCACTAATTAAACTGCAAACACCTTACAGATTTACAACAACTTTTATGCAATAAGAACAAAATGGCCAAAAGTACTGGAGAATATGAAATCAAACAGTATGCACACAAAGCTAAATTTGATTGTTTCATGAGGAATTGTCCCATACAAAAAAGCACAAGCCAGTTCCAAGCACAAACAACAAGCCAGTTTCAAGCCTGCCTGCATTCTAAATATTTCTGCTAGAACATTATCTTTGGCCTTGATCTTTACCCTCCAATTAATGATCAACATTATTATTCATAGTGGGGAAGGGAAAATTAGGTACTGTGCATAGTAAACATATGTAGAATCAGTAGCTGATTTAGCCAGGTGATGTACCTTGTATCAAATAAGATCCTACCTTACCTTTATTTTTTTTAAACGTGTACTATATATTCTCCTAATGCTAATAAGACATAAATCAACATAGCAGGTGGTTCTTCTCTACTGAACATTCAGTTGAATGTCAGGATTGGGCATGGGGACCCTAATTTGGGTCCTGGAGCTGTCCTCAGCCAGATCCCCAGGGATCAGGTTGGGGAGTAGCTCCAAGACCTGGGAGTGTCTGGGGCCATTGCTGACAATCAGCTAAGCATCAAGATCAGATCATACACACAAGGCAGCCCTGGGGTTCAGGACACAGCCTCCCCCTGCCCGATCCACATGATCAGGATCCACAGGATTTGCCCCAGGTCCCAGTTCATCCAGGGCAGTCACACATCTGGCATGGCAGGATACATGAATATTGGGATAGGTCATAACATTTTTCAGATCCCAATCCTGCCATTGTTTTAATGTCTGCCAGAGGCCTATTGTACTCAGCTTTTTATCCTTGCAAGTCTTATTTGTCAATACATGGAACCACAGAGGAACACAAAAACAATCAGAACATGTTGTTCTGAAATCATATAGTCATATTCATGCTTATCCTGTGATACATTGTCTCATGACTCACTGTCATCATGCCCAAGCACTCATCACAATAAGAGAATTTGCAGAGTAATACCATTCTGCCTTGCTATGATAATTTTGTGGTTCTCGCCCTGAATGACTTTGGCCCTCTACCATGTGTAGGCTCTCTCAGCAACCAGGAAGGGGAAGCAGAGAAGGTTATGTCTGCAAGGAGTAAAACCTACATACTTTCAGTCCAAGACAAATTTATTCTAGAAGCAGGATGATAACTAGAATAAAAAATTAGGTTCTCAACGCAAGTACTAGGTGTGTACACGTGTGCATGTGTGTGCACGTGCACTTATTGCAATGAGAGCAGGTTGTATCAGAGCTAAGTATTAATTTATTTTGATTAGCAATTCTGAAAACAAAATGCCTGCTTGAACTTCCCAAGATGTAGATGTGTAAATTACTGTTGCTTCAGATTCTCCCACTTCCCCTGAAAATGCATCTATTTTCTCATGATCTCTTTGAGAAAAAGAGTAAAACAATGCTAACTGAATTCACGTTTATTTGCTCTTTTGAAATAACCCTTCCTCCAATATGTTTCAAAATAGACACTCTTGGTAAAGTTATATTTAAGACAAGACAACGTATTAAGGCTTAAAACTAAAGAGCTTACTGCTCTCTGGAGTAACCTTTCCTTTATTAGTATGTCTTCCCACTTTAATTGAATGGAAAATGAGAATAACCGACATTACAAAAACCACCAACACTGTTAAAAAGCGAAAAGAAAAATAAAGGAAAAAGAAAAACACCTCCCAGGGTTTGTATCTCTGTCCCTTTAGTGTTCTGGAAGCCAAATATGGAAGGTCCATTGGAACTGAACACATTGTTAGAGGGAGGAGAGAAGTTTCCGATGCTATTATTGTAACCTCATTTTATTAAAACCACACACTTATCTGTCCTTATTAGGACCATTCTACTTTTCTATTTGAGCTTGTTCAATGGAAAGAAACTATGTTTTTCTCCCATGTTTCCAAGTATGACTTAGTTTTTAAAGGGGATCTGAAAAAGGCAAAACAAATTAACTGAGTCTTTTGGGCCCTCTCTCTCCACTTACGAACAAAAAATGCCTTAAAGAGCCTCCTCTGTTCCTGTTCTGAAAAGGATATTTTCCTCCTTTTTTAACCTCAGAAGTATAAAGACTATTATATCTCGTCTCTTCAGTTTACTTGGAGCACACTTTGGAGAAACATAGAGCTGGATCAGAAGATCTTCACCTTTACCATAAGAGGCCACAAATAAGAACTCTAATTTGATCTCTAGTCTGATTGTTCCCAATTTGCCTTAAATAGGTATTAAACAAAGGTAGGGGGAGGCAGGGGAGAGAACACAACAACCAAAAAAGAGAAAACAAATCTAAAATGAAAAAAATCTTTCCCTTGCTAGCTGTGAAGATTTTGCTTTTTTTTTTTTTTTTTACTTGTAATATAATGACCCTTCTAAATCAGCAGTCTTTCATAGAGTCCTCCCTCCCCAAATTTAACAATGAACAGAAGAACTGACAACATTTTCCTATTCTTTTGCATTTCATTAACTAATGCTCTAGTATGAATTTTTCCCTTTCCTCACCAATGCTAGTCCAGTTTATACTAGCATCACCCACAAGTAACTCCAAAGATTGGGATGCGAGTAAAACGCATCCCTCCACATCTAGGTGATACAAAAAAGAATAAATAGTATGTCTGATGTCAAGCATTCATTGGTATGGATTATCTGTATAGCAGTATCATCCAGAGTCCCAACTAAGATTGAGCTCCCCAAGCTACTTAAAGTTATACTTAAATGTTGGAGGGCCTGGTCCTTGCCCTAAGGATACAGTCCAACATTGATTTGTATCTTTACCCTTCTCTTTCATGCTATATAACAATATTCTGATAGCTAGTGGCGTTAATTTTGTAATATTTTTTTAGTGAACTAATGATAAAGGGATAGTATCAACAAGGTCATTGACACAAGAGGATACATTACAGCCTATGGAGTATAAGTTTAATTTGATATATTCATTCAATTTGACTTCTGTTTCCTTTTCTGGTTAAGAGAGAAACTGTGATCTAACATTCAGGATATTCATCTTCAATGAAATCTGTCAAATGTGTAGGAGGCTTTTTTATATTCCTTCTATTTGTAATGCATGCACACGCATATTGATGTGCGGCAGAGGCTTCACACATCATCAGCTAAGGAAAAATATTCCCACACTTTATAGGACTTCTATGCAACTTTACCTATAGATGGTGTTCACCTTATGGATGACAACAGTGAGAATTGATAGCAAGTGAGGATACAAGCCTACAAATAGGTTTAAGAAGGTAAACACTTAGGATCTGAGGGAGCTGTTTAAAAGGTGATATTTACAGGCATAAAAAGAAGAAATAAAGAAAATTAAATACAAATTGTATATTCAAGCCAAATATCAGTGAAAATGGTCTGACAACAAGATTCTAATAAAGGAGGGTGAATAGAACCTATATTGGATTCTTCTGAGTTCAGAGTAGTTTACGTTTGGATGAGTGTAAACAGAGACCTTAAACTAAAATGATTATTTGAAATAAGAATTTTGGTAAAATATCAAAGTGTAGATAAACCTTTTGATTGCTGAAGTACGATTTTGGGCTCAAGAGTAGTGTCCCATGATAATGGGCAGAAGTCCCATTGTTTAGGATATTTAGAACTAGACTGAATAAAACACTTGAAAATGTAGGAGGAAGAATAAACCTGTAGTAAGGAAAGTATGATCTAGGTAACTACTTTATACCCTTTTAGTTCTAATTTCTGATTCTATATATGCACACATTTTGGATTTCAAAAAAAGTCTTTTTAATAAGGGTTAACTGGAGATGTCACACATGGCTGAGTACTGTTTCAAATTACTGCTGATGGTGGCATAACTAAATCAGGCAAGTGGGCAGAACATTTAAATAGAGAATAGTTTAATATCCTCCCCTTCTGTTTAATCCTAATATTTTCTTAATTATTCTTGCAATGACAATATCCTGGCAGTTATGAATTTTATGAATATTTCTACTCCTTGGTAAATGTAATTGCATTCACATAATACTTCTGAGACACTGGGTAGCTTTTTAAAAAGCTATACTCTGGTTTCGCTACAAGCTTTATTGGACTAAAGTAGGAACCACTGATTGAATTTCTCTGGCCTGTTTTATGCAGGGGAAATCAGAATAATCATAATGGTCCTTTCTAGGGTTAAAAATAAAAAAATAAATCTATGTAATAGAATAATAATAAGCCTTATATTTAGACAGCTAGAACAATGCAAGAACTAATCTAACCAAATGATCATTCTATAACCTGCTATACTGAAATCTAAAGATAAAAACCCTTAAACTGAACCCTGAACAAAAACTTTCAATTTTTCCCCTAATCTTCAACAGTTAACTATAGGCATTCCCTTATACATAAAATGCTGGCCAAGGAAAAGGAAAATGTTATATATATATATGCATGCATGTTTAGGGAAAGCTCAGCTTCCAGTCCCTCCACCCACACCCACCAATTTCAGTCAAAGGATGTCTTGAGTCCATTTCTTAACTAATCCTGTCACTGTAAAATCCTACAGTCATTCTTCCACACATAGAGAGGAAAGACTCACTAGGAGGACCTAGACTCTTTCAGTTTTAACTATTGACCAATAGTGGAAAAGCAGGGATGCCTAAGTTATGCCGTTAGAGCCAATGAAGTAGATTTGTGTCTCCCACATGACTGTGTTTCCCCTGTCTTTCACATGGGCAGTATTTAGCTCAATTCAGAACTGCAGATAGTACAGCCTGCTTTGCAGCAATGGGATGTCTGAACACAAGTGGCTGACTTCCGAGTGACTTTATGAAGCACTTTTATACTTTCCTCCTGCATTAAACTGGGATTCTGCATTCTTGGCACTCACCCATCAGACTCTTCTCTGCTGCAGGGAACTGAGTATTTAGTACAGCTTAGCATTATGAAACTGTGAGTACTGATTTTCTTTTCTATCCTTAAAGCATATACTGTAAAGCTGTTTCCACGTTGCATGCACCAAATTTTAAAAATATGCTCCGTTTGTTTTTTCTCTGATTATGCAGATTGACAATATTGTCTGAATAGATAAATCTTTCAAGAATATTTCCTCCATTCTTCAATTAAAAGGGGGGGGGGGGGAAATCACTTATCCCTTAGGGCAGGGTCTGCATGAGAATCCCCTGCCACACTGCTTCCTA